GAGCTGCTGAAATTTGAGCGGACCAGATGTGGCCTGCGGGCCCGCTGAGCCAGACTCTGATGGTATGTGAGCTTTATTTTTGCTCTTTGCATAATGTTGTGGTTGTGAAAGATGGTAGTAATTAAGATGAACTAAGATTAAGATTAACCACTTACAATATTAGCTATGCATTTTGGACTTCTGTCTGTTTTTCTTTATAACATGCCAGTGTTTCCTAGAGTGAAACAAAAATATTGGTAGCTCTGGTTGTGGGTCCAATAATAACGGTAGTAATCCAGTGAAGACAGTATAAATCAAAACTAGTTTACATCGAAGCAGGACCATGTACTGTCCATTCTGCTACATTTTTGCAAAGCATAGGATGTAGGGCTTTCTTTTGGTGGATTGAATACCTGAAATTCTGAGTGTGCACATTACATTACAATCATGGAGGTGAAGGAGATGTAGTTTAGGTCTTTACAAACTTGTTGGAGCTGCTCACTTTCCTATAAAGCACCTCCAAATAGTTCAACTTCTCAGTTCGTCCCAGTTTGGATACTGTGATTGTCTATTGTTAATAAACATTTCCCCTTTGTCAAGGACTTCTTTTGAGCTCGTGGTGCGTTATAGCATATAAAAAAGCCACATTTGCTTTCAAAGCGAACATCACCATGTTCCTGACATGTCAACTTCGTTCCCCTCCTTCATGTAGCTTTCTCTCTGGGGCCAGTGGGTACGTTGTTGTAACCTTGTAAGGGTGGGATGTTGTTCTTGTAATTCTCATTTATGTTATCTGTATGGACATTATCAGCAGCCTTGACAGTAAATCTTGGATGCAAACTGTATGGACTGTTAATTCACACAAACTTCAAAAAAACAGATAAGGAGGAAATTCTGTGAGGTGCTAAACGTATTTCAGGATGTTGAATGAGATGCAGATATGTATTTTGGGGGAGAGAGCATAGAAACATAAATGGTATTCTATAAATCACCTGTACTTTTATCTGTTGTGTTCAGAGGTGGTTGCTTCCTTTTTAGAAACAAATGTTGCTAATGAAATCAGAGACTTGGGTAAAAAGACAGGAAAGTTATTAGAAGCATGAATGGCTTGTTGGAAGCTACTGGTTTATTATTACGCACCGTACTGTAAGAAGTGGGAAGCCCTGTATGTGTGTGTGGTGGGCCAGCATACTGGCTCTGTCCTCCAGTCTACATGTAAGCAGAAGTCATAGAATCATTGAGGTTGGAAAAGACCCTTAAGATCATCGAGTCCAGCCGTTAACCCAGCACTGCCAAGTCCACCACTACCAAGTCTGCCTCTGCTGCTGGCCAAGATTGTTGTAGGGCGGTGGACTGCCTCCTTCCCAGCTTGATCCCATACCCAGGAATTTTGCTGGGCTGGCAGGAGTCCTCCTTTACCCCTTCCACCTTCTCTGGAGGCATTTGGGGCCCAGGTGTGCTTCGGGTGGAGTGAGCAGTAGATCTGTAGTAGTGGCAGCTCTCAGGGACCTGCTTTCCACCTGCTTTTGCCAGGACGTTGTTCTGAGCCTTTTTGTAGAGCAAGTGCTGTAGCTGCTTTCAGCCTCTCTTGTACTACCTGTGCATAGGCTGTTATTCCTTCGCACACAGGGAACCCCGCAGTCCTGTTGACCTTGTCTCCTGGGACTGATGTTGATCTCATCTCACGAGAGGCTGCGGCTTATGCACATCTTTTTCTCAACCTCCAGCCAAGTGGACCTGCTGATTGAACTTGCTCCTTTCCGAGGACATACGACCATTGAAATGTGTAACATGCAGAATGTATTGTCAGTCAGGTGTTCTTGACTTCAGGCACTGCAAACTACATCCAGATAAAACAAAAGAATTCTCGTGTGTGCTTGCCTGCTTTCATTTCCTGGCCTCTCTGAATCGCTTTCAGATTAAGGTCAGAGTCCTCAGAAGTGTCCTGAATTTTCCTTCAGTTTGACCTTTTCCACTTTCGAACACTTATCCTCGTCCCTGTACCGGTTGCACCTTCAGATCATCCATTGCTTGTCTGCTGGACTTTCTGGCAGGACCCATTTCCCCCCAAAGTCCAGGGTCTTTGGCCAGGAAACTTGCCATTTGAGTAAAGGACTATGCAAGTCTAGTGGTACAGTATTTCAGTCTTTGCTTCTGTTATGGAATGAAATTTAAAAGACTTCCCAGATGGTTAAAGAGGAACTGTTTATCTGATGTAGCTGAAACATATAGGTGATTGTAAGCATCTTGCTCCTTTCGGTAGCTCACTGGTAGCTAAGCGTCATGCCCCGAGATCAGCAGTGGCATCACAGATGCTCTACAGGTTTCAAAAGATTGCTCTGCCTTGGATACTCTTGGTCCACATTTGGAAGTTGTTTTTACAGTAGTGAAATCTAATCATACAGATTTAAAAGAAAATAGCTAGCATGTATCCAGGAAAAATACCTGCAGACTTTGAGGAAAATAAACTTGACATATTCTTAATCTTATGTGTGTGGGTCAGTTTGTATTTTTCAGGTATAATACATACAGATAAAAACCCAACACATCTAAGAAAATTTTATATAATTATTCATTAAAAAATTATATATTTATATATAAACCTGCAGGCTTTTTTTTTTTTTTTTTTTTAAAGAGTGAAAGCCCTGCAGGAATATCAAGGCAGCCTTCAACAAAAGGATCGAGGCAACGCGCCAAACCCGGAGGAGAAGGTAACTAGAGGGAGGATATTTTTTCTATTAAATATGCTGGAGGGTTATTGAATAGGAATAGCATAAATACTTAACTATCCGTGTTTGTGATTTTCAGTGCTTGTTTTATATTCCCAGTCTGCATTTATGAATACAATAGGCAATTTTTCTGCATGGATTTGGTACGTAGAAAGTGGTACTCGGTTCAGTTTGCTCGCATTCCTCATGCAGGATTGCAGATCTAAATTCAGCCTGCTCTTGATATTTATTCTGTTCTCTCTGAATGGGCTTTTTTTTAGTTGTTCTACAGCTATTTCTTTTTCTATTAATTTCACGAGAATTGTTTCTTTGCTTAATAATCTAGCAAGTTTAGACAAATATGCCTTGCAGAACTTTATCGTTATTTTTCTTTCTATCACTGAGGATTAGCGGACAGTATGTCTGAGTTGATAAAATTATTGCATGTTACCCTTACATAAAGTCATATGTAAAGGTTTGTTAAATATTTACAGCAGAGAAGTATTCAGCACAGCATTTTTGTTTCAGTAAGACTTAAGATATGTTGTTTAAGATTGTTTTAGTCAGATGAAAGATATTTGTGAGGCAAGATGTGCTTTTCTGTAGGGATAAATCATACAGCCATGAACTCTGAATTTGTATCTTTCTCACTCAGTAATATTTGGGAAGAGTGCTCTTTCTAGATTTGGCTAGGGAATCCCAACTTCACTTATTTTCTGAAATTTTCAATTGTTTCTCAAGGATCTGAAGTCCTAATGTTTAGTCTTTGGAAATTTGGGGTTTATAAATGAAAAGATCCTATTTTTCAAAAAAACCCAACCAACAAAACAACAAACAAACAAAAAAAGGAATGTTCCCTGTGATTAACTGACTGCTGGCCAGTACAAGAAGGAATTTCCCTGCATATTTCTTTGATAGGCAGTATACTAAACCTCTGAATTTGTGTTACACTTGCTGGGGTTTCTTCAGTGAAAAGATGACTGGGTGAATTCAAGACTAGCCAAACCTCTCTGAGTGATTTCCGTAGCTTGAGACGCTTACAATACTCCAGGTGTAAGCTGTAGAACAGGTGAAGATAAGGTGTTAAGCAAAACCTCTGGCTTGCAGCCCATTCAATGATTACAGAAGATTCCTCTGAATATTGAAGCAACGGCACGTGTTTATAGATCTTTGACTCTCTCCAATGTCTGTCATTACAGCTGTGGTCAACTGTATTGTACCTGGGCTGGTATCAGGCCTGGACCTCGTGATTAGAGTTGGAACTGGGAAGGGTGATCTGGGTATCACCAGTACTGAATTCTATCCCATGTCATCTTCCACAGCAGCTCAGCCAGGTGTAAGGAACACAGCCCTGCTGCGTTTCTGCTGAGAGTGCTGGGGAAGGAAGGCCAGATATTTGCTACAGAGGAATTATCAGTAGGAAATGAGTGTCTGTAAAAGGTCCATCTCTTTGTGCTGGCCAGGAGTCACCCCTGGTAGTGGTGTGGCCACCACCCTGAGTCTTGATGGCAGACGAGGAGGTAGCTGTGGTCATCCTGTCCGTGCTTCAGTGCTGAGTCTGTCAAGACTGTCACTCGTGATAGTCGATCTGTGGTATCCGTGCTTGCCCATTAGGAAGTGGATTGATATAAACTGTAATTGTATTGATTACAGGCCATTTTCTCAGTCTTTGGGTGATAACCTCTTCTGAGTCTTTGTTGACTGGAGCTATTTAACAAAGGGTGCAATCAATAAACATTTCCTCCTCATCTGCCTCTCACCTGCATTAGTCATTTCTCTTTGTCTCTTTAGACAAGATTTAATGAAGATTTTAGTCATAAGATGGTTTTAACTGGGTTTAATTGGGCCAGGATTTGCAAATAAGTAAATAATTTTATTTTATCGATTAAGGTGCTTCATTGCAATTGATTATCTCACCAGCTTTTGTGCGTAAGTGTATTAGATAGTGTATTTTCATACTAACGGGGAACTAGATTCTCTTCAGAATATCCCAAGTACTTAATACTTTCACATCAGGAAGAAAGGAATCTAAACTTACTACTGCTAGCTCTTTGTGTAAGAAAGACAAGAGGAAGAGCCTAGAGAAGCACGCAGGTGAGGAATAAAACTGACTGGTACCTGGACCTCATATGGCGACAGTGTGACTACAATTTCTGTCTGTTTTTAAATGCCTTTTTCCCCCCTACTCTTATTTCAGTGACCTGATTATTTACTGTGATTCAAATTTTCTTTCAATGGTTTTGTGCCCTGGGCACTGAAACCTTATTTCTAAGAGAAGTCACTGTACACAAATCAGTTTAACACCACTGTTCAGAAGATACAAAAACACCTGTGAATTGATACCTGTTAAAATACCTAATTCTGGCTGCTACTGTGTAGAGTAATGAAGCATAAAGATCTTCATACACTTAAGCTGCCAATGTCACAATTATTAATTTATGTAAAGAGACTGTGTGTTGCTGTGTGTCTTCCCAAGCATCTACATTTTCTTTGGGTTTCCATTTTAGTAGGTTTCCATGTTTCGGAGGCGAAATACTGAAGTTATAATAGAGCTTGGGTAGTGTTTTCAGAACAATCAATAGCCGTGTTTTCAAAAGGATTTGGGGGAAAAAGTGAAAAAGATGTTTAGGCACCTTAAATACCTTGGAAAAGATCTGGCACTCTGGATATGAATGTCTGTTGACTTAGGAGCTTAATTCATATTGGTGCTTGAAAATTGAAAATTTTACATCGCATCTCATGTACTTAAGTGCTGTGAAGTTTTAATAATTTTGCAGCTGAAAAATACCATCTGGATTCCATTAAATGTAGTCTTATTTTACTACTTAGTGATCCTTAGCTGATCCTATAACTTTCTTTATTTCCCAAGATTTGAATATTTGTTTTATAGCCTGAACTGGTACTAAACTACAGTGACCAGACACACGCCATTTATAGGATCGCCCCTTCTTTAAAATGAGGATCCAGTTTTTCTGGTAAATGAAATACGGTTAATGACTTATCCTGTGTTTTGGCTTCAAGGTGCACTCAAATTTCAGTTTACCTAAGCGATAAATACTTTGGGGCATTAGCCCTCTTTTTGTTCTAACGCAGCAGAGCTGCAATAGGTGAGTAGGGCTCAGAGGTGCCTCCTGTAAGTAATCCAGAGGGCAGTGAAAACCTTCTGGAGCGCTACTGATGCCTGTTGCATGCTCGTCTCCATAGTTACTGGTGCTCTTAATTGAGAGCTGAACAGGTTTCCTTTCAGACACTGAATTACTTTCTAAATGGAAATGCTGGAGTAAAGTGCTTTGCTTTCCACTATTGGTTTGGCTTTTCTGTGCAGCTCCAGACCTTATGGGTGACTTGTAGCACTGCTTTAAATGGTAGTTTCAGTTTTATTAAATGACAATTCATTCTGGCCTTAGTCAGCATGGGTAAATGAAAGTGTTGGTTCACCTTTCTCTGCCGTGGGTTAATCGCCTCCTAAACTAGTAGAACTCAGCATTTCTGCTGCAATGGACTATGCATCTTTGTGGATGTTTCCTGTGTCATGGGTGGAGGAGTAGGTCCCCTGCTATTGATCAGTATGTCCTGAAAGCTCCAGCTTGATGCTGCATGCGGTAATTTCATTGCTGGTTTTGGAACTGTTGGATGTTTCAACTCAAGCATTAGGCAGGGCTCTATCTAATAAATCTTCTCCCATGCCATCAAAGCTGTTTGCTCATTTGTTCTTATGGTGGCACACCTGAGGTGTCCTTTGCATCCCTCCACCCTGAATGTCTTGTCTCCCTGGGCATATAATTTAGAAATCAGATGTATAAGTGAATATTTCAGCTTTCTTCCACTGTGTGCTACTTTGCTTTTGTCAACATCACCCTATCGCAACTGCAGGAATTAATTTAAGATAATTGGTAGATGAAATGATCTTTCATTTTTTTGCAAAAATAAAACAGTTTTAGGTAGCATCAAAAGTGAACAGCATTTGTGGACTAGGCTCTTCCATGGCATTAACAGCAAGATACGGAGTTCAGCTACCAGAAATTAGCTTTTCTTGCTTGAAATTTCTTAATGGCTTTAGTATGAAATGTGTTTAAAACGAAAGCCTTTGAAACAAACTGAAGTACATCATGCATTCCAAGTAGTATACAAACAATATTGTGTATTTTAGCAACTACTTAGACATTATTAGGTAAATATTGTATTGTTTCACTGGCTATCAGGCTAATAAATAATATCTGTAAATTGTTTCTGGATTGAAGGATTTGCCTTTAGTTTGCAGTAACATAATCAGTTCAGTCAGCGGTCATGAAAAAAAAGTATTTGTGAACTTTGAATGTTATTTATTTACATTCAAGATGGTTTGTTAAACTAGGATAGCCCTTAAAGAAATAGTAGCTGTTACAGGTATTCAGCATGGCCTTTTATTTTAAATTATTATTGCATCTTTGGTTTCATTCGATTATAAACTGTTTTCTAATAGGAACTGTGGAAATGAAGAGTGTGGCAGATAGGATTTCAGAGGACAGTGTTGCTAAACTGCAAGAGAAAGCTGATCCAGGACTTGCAGTAAAACAGACAGGTAGGGAGAATAAAAACTTGACTGCCTTGGAAAGTCTAACTTGAGTGCTTTGTGGTCGAACTTGAATGCATGCAGGGTGATTTACACTTAATCCAGCTGCTGCCTTGTGTTTTAATCACGTCTTGTAGTTAATGTCCTGGTTTGGAAAATGTACGTTCCATGATGAAACAGTTTTACTTTTATTTTCTCTTTCCTTACTCCTGTGAAGTTTTCAGAGACCAGTGCTTACAGTGTCCCAAGGAAAATGCAAGGGCTGATGCACCCAAATCCCTCGGTGACTTTTTCTGTGGAAGAACTGAATCGTTGCATGCTGCATTTTTGTACAAGTATTTGGAAGCCTCACTTAGTGTTTGCACTTTACAGGATTTTCAAGGAAAAGTCCATCTCTGCGTGCTTATTTCTCCATTATTTTTTTTTTCCAAGTTGTATATAGCTCCCAAGACATACGCTGTTAATGTGGTATTTGTATCCAGCTACAGTATACATGGAGCCATAGAAGCAAAATGTAGGAGGAAGAAATGAGATTTAAGCAAAAAGCTACGGTTTTGTTTTCTCCAGATCCAGATGCTTGACCTAGTTGGGAGAGTTGATACCGTGTATGTGGGAGGTCAAAGGCTGTTTCCCGGTCGACCTGTGGCCTTCAGGGCCTCATAGCTGTGTCAGTCTAATGAAATGTAGATGGTTGGCCAAGACATTTGTGTGACCTTACACAACTGGGAGAACTTGACGCTTATTCTGTCAAGTTCTTTTGGAGCTGTCTTGTCTGTTGGAATCTATCTGTTATGGAATATAACTTCATGTTCCTGTACTTATAATTTGAATGTATGTGAGAGGAGTACCCCCAGGTTCATTATTGATTTGGATTGGATTCTCAGGTGGTACAAGCACCAAATGTTGTTGACTGCTCTTTATTTTCACCTTGATTCAATAAGATAGTGTAACGTAGTAGTGCATTAGTGAACCTTACTTTTCTGTAATTTCTTATAGAGATGAAATTGTCATTCACACATTTAAGAGCTTTCACAGTTGGAATGTGAAATCAATGATGACAGTCAATAAGAACAGTCATTGCAGATAGGGAAGCTCGATGCTATTTGGAGTAACCATAAGACAGTGATCACCTGTCCCTTCTCGCTGTGTTCTTGTGTCTTTAACTGCAAATGAAAGTTTCCAAAGGAAGAATCACTTACAGGATTATAAAAACATGGTTTACTGGCTGAAATAAACTTAGATTTTTCTGTGTCTTTTTGAGTATTATTTCTGCATTCTGCTTCAGTCTTGTATTCAGAGCCTCAATGCTTAGAAACAGAACCTCTCCATTGTGGACGCTGTGGATTTGGTTTTGGTTTTTTTGTTTGTTTGTTTGTTTTGTTTGTTGTTCGGGTTTTTTTTGTGTGTTTATACATGAGGATTTGTCAGCATACCAGTTATTCTCTCTTGGTGTCCTCTATTAGGAATCCTCACTGGCTGGTTCATGGTAGCCTCTTAAATAAGAAGTATATGTTTAAAGCTTTCTGGCAAAAGGGTGTTTTGGCCGGTCTCAGCTATTTGCTCATACACCCCTGAAGTTACTTAAGTTCCACTTTCTTTAGACGTGCACATAAATGCACCCACTGTGGCAAGAAGGGCGGAACAGTTGGATTTCACGGTCACTCTATAAAGTGTAGGCCTGCATGAGGCTTTTTCAGAAGCTGATGATTATGTAGGATTCTTCTGAACCTTGTTAAATTCTAAACTGAGCTTTTCTGGGAGTTTCACTGGTGCAGTCCATCTTCTCACAGTTTTGGTAATTACCTTGAGGTACACTTCTCTAGAAGGAGTAATACCAGGCTCCTTTCTAAACTTTATTTCAAAATAACTTAAGATGTTGTCACTCATTCAGTTGAGCTGTCACAGCCACCTACCACCTATCCGCAGAGAACCGGTGTTATACGTAAAATGTGATGGTCCTTTCCACCAGCTTGGCAGAGGGGCTGGGAGGGCAGTGTCTTAAACCGAGTCATGCTGATCCAGCTCTTCAGGCAGTGTGTGAATGCATGTGCTAACGGGAGAGAATGGGAAGTATGAACGCAGGAGTGCTTATTTGGTGGCAGTGCCAGTTTACACTACTGGGAGGGTTTAGGAAACTACTGAAACTCTGCTTAGATCGTCACTGCAGCCTGGAAATTGCAGTCCTTGCAAGATGCTTAGGCACTGTCTTGTTTGCTAATGTAGCTGGTTTGTGATACCGTTTGGTTGATTAATTGTGCATTAGACTTATACTCCAGCTAACTCCAGTGGAATTAAATGGAAACTGAGTGTTGACATTGCTTGAAAATCACAGTCCCTGCCCTTCCACATCTCCAAACCTACCTTTGGGGTGCGTTAGGCAGAGCAGAGCTGTTTTCAAAGGTTTAGGGGGTACATGGGACTACTTAAAAAAAAGTATTACATTCTGTGAACTGTTTCTGAATTTCCTCTGGACTTTTAATTTTTATATTTCTGGACTTTGTAAACTTACTGTGAGGGGTGAGCATTCCCTGTGCTTTCCTATTTCGAAGTAGATTGGCATGGCTTTGCCTCTCAAATCTGTTGTACAGATTTATACAATTCACCTTTTACACATCTCAACTTCCAGGAGTGTCTGCTCAGATATTCTACCAAGACAAACGCTTTGATCCTCCACTGTCTTTTGACTTTTTAAAAAAGTTTTATTTCTCATGAGTATGTTTGGCTTAGTGAGCAGAACACTGATGACTTTAGCACAGAAGCATGAGTTTGTTGAAAACACCCCTAATGTCTTTGTCCTTATTCTCCCAGCTCCGGTAGTAGTTCCCAAGTAAGAAGCTGGCTGTAGTTCTTTTTGTGTGCTTTATGCTTAACTTGGTCAGATTCTTATTAAAAAAATATATAACTTATCTGAGAAAATCAATGTAGTTGTTATTTCCAGGTGAATTTGCCAGCGACTCAGATACATTATAGTGACAAAAGACCAGCGCTGAACATACCAATGGTAGTTAAAAACTTCTAATAGAAAAAAACAGTGCTTTTTAATAAATAAAACACTTCTCTAGTTTAGTGCCTGTTTTTTGTTTTATGCTATGTATTAAAGAATTTTTAAACTGTAACAAAACATAATGTAGTTGTGTTTGAATGCTTTCAGTAGACTTTGTCGAAGTAGTTTCTATTTAAAAGAATACCATAAAGCCTTCTATGAAAGTGCTTTGTGCTGTTGGTTAAATGTTTAAAAAAGAAAAAGTTAAAAAAAAAAAAAAAGTAAGAGTTTATGAGCACTTTATGGATTCTAGCTTCAAAATAGGCAGAACCTGTGGGGAACTTTTTGCAATACATTACAGATGGTTATTGCAACAACCAGATTAATAAAATGTATGTTTTCCATTTTCTTAATAGCAGTACATGACTTTGTTTTCCTCCTCCTATTACTTGTTGTGTTTGTGGCTTCTGTTGATATTAAAAGTGAAAGAGATCCACAAAACCTTTCATCATAGAATGGTTTGGATTGGAAGGGACCTTTCCTCAAATAACTGGATAAGTTGGCCGGTAATAGACAGTGAATCTGGAAATCTTCGGGCAGTCTGGTATGGAGGAGGTCCCTGAAACATCTCTGAGTTTGCTCTGTGCAGGTGCCACAGTACTGAGCTGTGATACATCATTGTTCTGTCTCCCCTGGTGCTATGGGGCTGGGATGAACCAGGGAAGTGAGATTTTAGAGTTTCTCAATTTTCACACAGAGTAAATGAATAATTGCTTGCAGAACTACTTGCAACTGTTGACGTTCTGTCTCGTAAGCAGCTGTTATGTCAGTGTGATGCATGGCGGGATGTAGCGAGAGCAAGAAATCAGATGAGACCTTGACTATGCAAGTGCAGGCTCCAAGGAGAGCCTGTATGCAAAATCAAATATGTTATTAAGGAGCAGACCTCTGTTTTTTATTTCTCTGTACTTTTGTAATCTCCATTGTGTAGAAAAATGCGTTTTTGCTGTGTGGAAGGGGAATTTTGAAATCCCTATTGCATCCATTAGGCAGGGATGCTAAAGTACTGAGGGAAGTGCAAGAAGCTCGTGGTACAGCCAGCCACAGAGCACAGCTTTCTGACTCAGGCCTGGCTTACTTTTAACATAGGGCCCACTCCAGCTTGTGTCCTGTCCCAGCGACCGTAGGATTGGTTGATGCACGGTGGTTGTTCCTGTACCAGTAAGACTGAGGGAAAACTTAACATAGTGCTTACGGTTGTTAAGTGTATTTACGTTTCTTCCTTATGTTCTCCAGTGGACCATATGTAGGAGTCGTACGCTGTATAAAAATGTAGTCTGTGTACTGCTCAGTAGTTTTAAATGAGAAGGTCCTACCTGTGAAATGACTGCTCAGGGAATACACACAAACCTGTTAGGAAAGTGGAATGCAGCAGACTCTGGGAAAGATACTTGCATTTCTTTGCCTAAATTTGGGCTGGTGAAAGCCCAGACGCCTTGGCCTGTTTTCTTTCAATGGTGCCATTTGTTGGTGATTTCAGAGCAGAAGGACACTGAAGTCGACAATAGTGTTAGAGGGGTCCTTTCTGTGTGTAGTATTACATGGAAGAAATATTTACTGACAGATTATTCATCTGAGCAAGCTTTCTAGATGGAATCCAAGACCATCGAATGCTTGTTACCTACCAAAATTATTTGTAGAAATGCTAAAGCAGAAAGTGGTCATGAATGATATCCATAATCCTGCACAGATTGTCAAGGCAGAGCATTTGCCTTGTTCTCTGCTGTTAACTTGAGCTTGGCAGGTGCGGGTTCATGCCATTAACTGCACTGGACTGGTCAGAGTAACTTGGTGGGAAACCTGTCAGCTGGGAGGGAGTGGTTAAACTGGTTCTGTCCGATTTAAATTGCAAATGGGGTCAACCCTATGGAGAGCAGTAACTCTGGTGGGATTACAGAAAGAGCCCTCATCCTCAAATCATAGAATCCCTGATGTTGAAAGGGATGGACAGATGGAGGTCAGCCTGTCCTACCCCTGCTCAAGTCTGGGTCAAGTAATACCAGTAGAGGAAAATAAGAAGTTAAGGTAAACAAAATAAAAGTTTAAAAAAACCCCAGCATAGAGATTACAGGTTTTTTAATACCCTTTTTCCTCTTATGATTTTGTATAATGAACAGCTTGAAATATTGCAAATGTTACTGTGCAACTATGGAAGAATTGAGTGAGATGATGTTATTTTCACAGATGAGGGAATTTCACTATATTAAGAAACAAATAAAACATAAAGACATTTAAAATGTTTTTTCAGCGTCCCTTTTGAATTGTGAATGCTCAGAGATGTTTGAAAATTGAAAGTTCACAAGATATGTAACTTTTATACAAGCTTACAGAATTGTCTTTCTAATTTTAAAAGTTTGTCACATGATGTATTCCATGTGCATGCATTCAAGTATAGTGCTGATAAGATTCAAAATACTGTCGTAAGAAAAGTTAGATTTGCCTTGCCAGCTAAGCCAAAATTATATGGGGTTTTTTTTGTTTAATAGAAAGAGAAGCAGAGACTGTGGCTCCTGAAAAGCCTGCAGTATCTGAAAATGGTGAGGTACCCAATGATCTTCCACTTCAGCCCATCCAAAGGTTTGTTCGTATCATTTATTGTGTTTCAATCAAACTATGATGTGTTTGGAGGTAATACAGTCCATTTGAAAACAGCAAGGAAACTTGGAGCACACTGTTTTCCCTTTATTCGCTTTCATTTCCTTCCATAAAGAAAACTTTAACATTGTGAAGTGTTTTGGACTTATTTTCTTAATCCATAAAGTGCTTCAATATAATGTTATTAAAATATAAGGGACGTGTGGAGAGTCTAATGAGAAAAACATTGCTTTATACATGCATTTTGTAAGTATGGTGTTATGGATAAGATGAACTTGCCTTTTAAATCCCAATGTACATTTTTTTTTTTTTTTTTTTCCCAGTGAAGTCTTCTGTAATTGTATCAGTTGTGAAAACAAATTTTTTTTTCCATTTACATTTCAGTGTGTACTGTTAATGCTAAATTTATTGTTAATGGTAAATAACTGCTGTATATAGGTTATTTTTGTAGTGAGACAAATCAAGAGGTTGTTTTACATGGAATCATAGTTGGGTTTTTGGGGTTTTTTTGTTTTGTTTTTTTTTTTTTAGAACATAACATGTTTTCTAGACTCCTACTAGGACAGCAAGTGTTACAATATTGGATTGTATATTGGGGATGATTTTAGTGTTGGTTAATTTATCAGCTTGTGTGTGTACACATCTGTTCCTTTGGACGACACATGAGGCTTCCTTTTCTAGTGTAAATGAAAAAGCCTTTTTGTTGTTACAGACGTATTCCCCGTTCTGGCAGTGCAAGGCCAGCACCGCCCCGAGTGAAACGTCAAGAGAGCGCAGAGGTCTTACTTCCAGAAAGGTAAGGAATGTGGGAGTTGTGGAGCAGATGTTTCTACTTCTTGTGCCACACCGTTTTGAGATCTTTCGTGTCTCATCTGCTGCTGAACAGCTTTAGGATGGATCACCTCACTGCTCATTGTTTCAGACTGGAAAATTCAGGCCTGCTTTATTTGTTTTATTGTTTCTGCAAATCCAGTGCATTATCTAAAAGTCACGGTTGGTAGTCACATCTGGAAGTTCAAACATGTGATTTAATTTTTTTGCCTTTGGGAACTCTGAAACAGCTCACCCTAGAGCATTAATCTAAACTACCACTGGAACATCTCCGTGAAACATGCAGTGAACATCCCATGTTCAAAAAAGGCTGAAACAGCCATTTGAAACTACGGACAACATGGCTTGCTTGACCTCTAATTAGTGCCAGTGAGTAACGTAGTGTGCTTAGAAGGAAAATAGATCTTAATAGGTTTGGACAGATCTTAATAGGTTTTCATTTTCATTGTGTGTCTTACAGGAATGGTAGTGGTAAAACAGTCTCAAATGTGATCATAGACCAGCAGATTTCTGATGATGATGATGACCAGTTTGTGGTGGAGGCAGCACTGCCGCGTCCAGAAATGCCAGATATGGAAACGGTGTGTTCATGTTGCAAATTATAGAACATTTTTCCATACTTTGTTTGTAACTTACTTGTTTAAGTATCTTCTAGCTGAATATTTTTGAATAGTTGTGTATTATAGCAATGCCAACTTTTTGCAACTAAAGCTGTCTTCCTGCATGTGTAGGACCCAGAAGTGGAGCTGGTTGAGGATCAAAAGCATGGTATGTTTGCTTTTGCATATATTTATATGTATATGTAGAATAAAGCCATAATTTAAAACCAAATGCTGAACACTTAAAATGCTGAATAAAGCGGCAAAATACCTCCTAAGGGTAGGAGCTTGCAACGTTTGCAAGAAAAACAGAAATTATTTATCAAATGCAGTCTTGTTTACTTGTGCAACTGGATTTGCAAGTGATGTTATGTACAGATTTTTCTATACATCTGTCTTGGTTTGAAAGACAGGTGTCTGTGGAGGAAGGCAGGAGCCTCCCTTGAAATGGAAAATGCAACCCCCTTCCCCCCAAATTATTATAATTTTGAAATTAACGGGCCTTCAGGCAAAGATATGGGGAATAGGAATAACAGTTCTTTACTAATATATATATATATATATCACAAGGCAGGGAAAAACAAACAACCCACTGGTTTACACTGACAGAGTCAGGAATACAACCTGACACCCTGTTAGGGTGGCAGTAGCAGTCCGATAAGATGATGGTTGCAGTCCTCCTGAAGCGATGGATGTAGTTCTGTGGAAGCAGCAATCAGGTAAAAGAGTCTGGTCTTCCTCCGAAGGTCCAGTGGTAGGTAGGTAGCTCTTGTCCTCTGGAACTCCAGTGGGGGGAAAAACTTCTCTGGGAATCCAGTGGAAGAAGGCTGCTAGGGTGTTCGAAATCTCAGTTTTTATTTAGCATGGACTGCTTGGCTCCTTCCCCCCGGGCGGAGCGTCTCACAATGGGATGGGGAGTCGTGAGGCAGTTCCTTGATGGGCCATTAACAGGAGATAGTCCAGAGGGGGGAGGCAGGGAGCACCGCCCCACCTGGTCTCAACAGCTCCTGAAGATGGTAATAAAATACTTTTTTTTTTTTTTCCTTTTGGCACATTTTACACTGTAACCTAGGACAACATCTTTAAGCAGGATTTAAAATTCTGCTTAAAACTCATTTAAAGTGTCAGGTACAGCTTGTCAGCTCTGAGGTATGAGATGGGATTGGCTGTTCAAGGCAAGTTATAGAAAAGCTTTTAGAAAAATTGATGGGCCGGTTCTTAACAACATTTGTGCTTACTCATGACCTCAGATCTCCAATTCAGGTGCTTCCATTATGGTTACACTGGATGTGATTTAGGCAGATATACTTATTTGCATCAAAAAATTCCTCACAAAGGAATATTTATCTATATACCTATCGTGCAGTTCTTGAATTCTTCCAAAAAAGGAAAAGCCATTGTGTTCATACAGCTCAAGGACCTGGTTCTGTACGCTCTGTCGTTCAGTAAATGGACTGATGTCGTTCAGTAAATGATACTGATGATACAGTTTCGTTTAGGGGACATTGGAGAAAATAAATCAAATGAAAAATAAGTTGTATCTCAGTAATCTACATACTAGAATGTTGTTCATGTTGCTCTAAAAATTGTTTACATTAAAAAAAAATCAAGCAGTCAGTTTTGATGTTATTATCTGAATGTTTAAAGCAACATTTTAGTTCCAACTGATGCTGAGAAATACACTGATTTTTCAACAGGTGGGCTTGTGAAAAGAATCCTAGAAACAAAGAAAGATTATGAGGCATCACAGAAATCATCAAAGACGACAGACAGGGTAAGATGGTAATGGCCTTCAAAGAACTGTGACTATTAAATATTGTAATCATGACCTTTTTCTCTGCCTTAAATGTGTTTTTTCCATTTGTGATCAAGCTTTCCTCCTTGATGCATTATGCTGCCTTTTTCGTCCATTAGTCTGTGAGATTTTGTTACCTTCTCTGTGTAGTGCTCTCTCTTTCTCATCTTTAATTTTTGTGGTTTGGTTCTTTGTTTCCAGTATTTCAGTACAATTTTTCAGGGAGGCTTTTTTAGCCCATTATTTTGTTTACCAGAACAAAGTCTGCTGATTTCAGTCTTGCCATAGATGTAGTAGGGCACACTGTGCATTTGCACAGCTGCATCTTTATTGTTTCAATCTCACTTGTCCTCTGGGCCTTTGAAGAGCAGTATCCGATTGCCCAGCAATCATTATCGGTGTCTAAAAAAATGGGATCTCTGGTGCAGTTATAACCATATAAAGTGTTTTCGTTTCGCCAAATGTTTCCCTAATAACGTCTTAGCATACCTCAGCACTCAGGTCTGAATCTATGAAGTGATTTGATTTTTTTCCACAACCAGTAGTTGGGAAAGGGAATTTTTGTTAGTTTTGCTGGGTTATTTTTGTTTGGTTTTGTTGTTTTGATCACTTACAGAAAGGGTCTAGCAGTGATCACAAACCAAAAGCAAAAGGTTGAACCCCCTGATTTAGGTTCATCTTGTTACAACCAGAGAGACCTTGCTTTTTCAGCTCATGTTACAAGAAGCAGCAAAAGGCAGAGCATTTAGATGGACTTTTCTGATCCATTGGCCCTTTGGAAACTTTCTAAATCACTAAGCTAGTTTGATGTGCTGGTGAGGAGGCACTGAGGAATGCGTTGCAGAGTGCTATTATAAAAATACAGACAGGTACGTAATGTTTTGGAAAGGCGAGTGCTTTTCATGAACTCTTAAATCTTCAATTCCAATCACATCTTCTCATTTTTTTTAATGTTAATTCAGTACTGTAGGGTTTTACTACCTATATTCTTTTTCAGGAATGATCTATAGTTTGGCATGCTGTTTTAAAATGCTGCAACTCAAGACCTCGAGAGTCCAGCTTTTCGCAGAGCATCAAGCTCTTCCAGATAGCTGTCTGAAATCAGTAGTGACTTTCGAAGCCTTGACCACTTGACTGCCTCTTTTGGCTTTATCAACGGTAGTAATTTGGCAATGAGTAATGATATTATGATACATTATGAGCAAAGTATACAGCAGAAAGGAAAGTGTCCCTGAGGGACTAAAACCATGGTAGGCAGTAGACTGTTTTAAAAGCCTGGTCTTATCTAGAACTTGTATGACTATAAATCACCTCTACATTCTGCAGCAAAAGTGACAGTATTAACTTTTAGGATTGGAACTTTGGGAGGGTAAAATCAACAATTCTTTCCTCTTAAACAGAGATACTCCCATATGCTTTCATGTCCAGTGGTAATGGGTTATGCTGCCACACAGACCAGCCTTTTGATTTCTTTCCCAGCAAGCTGAGGAAGTTGGGATGGCAGATCAGACCCTTGGGAGGAGTCTCTGAAGCTCTCTGAAGTTTGGGGCTGCCTGAGATCCAGGCCTGCTTGGCTGGAAGAAAATTCCTTTCATGTATTGCAGCGGGTGAGGTTAATGAAGAAAATTAATCCTCCTTAAAATAGGAAAACACCTTTAGTTTCCTGCTCATAATCCATTATGAATAGTTAAAGCTTTATCCAGCTTGCTGAATCACATACCATGTGGCATCTGTGTACTGATCATTGAAATGCTGTTGGCTATTTCCAACGAATATGTCTGACGTGAAAATTTGCCTGCTTGAATACGTTCTGTCTTTATATAACTGTTTGGAGAAAAGGAGGGGTAAAAGTAGATAGTGCTTTGTTTATGCAGTAGCTCTCATGCTCGTCACTGGAGTGTGTGTTGAGCTGGCACTTGTTCTCACAAGAGGTGCAGCTGTTCCTGTTCCGGGTTTTATTACTAGGTGGTGCTGTTGAATCATCAGTCCGGAGACTGAGTTTTGGTAGTAGTTCATTTAATAATGTCTTCTGCCAGTACATAACTGTGCTGTAGGCTGTACTGTTTGGTTTTGTGTCCTGCCAACTTAAGCAGTGGACATAGAAAGGAACAGTGGGGGAGGGTTTACAAAACGGCATAGATTTCATGCTCGGGAAGCTTCCTCTGATGTTTGTGCTAAATTTTCTGTTTTGTTTTGTTTGGTTTGGTTTGTTGTTTTTTTTTTTCCCTGAATAAGAGTAACTAGCTAACTAAAACGATTCCCCTTTAACCCCTTAGATTTTTTTAAATGCATGTGGACAATTGTGTCCTTCTACAATAACCATTTAGTCCCGTTGCATGTTTTCAGTTTCTAAAATGTTCATTGAGTCCTTTTTTGTCTTTTGTTGCATCTTTTGAAGCACTGATCTGTGTTAGCAGCACTGATAATAGACAACTAATTCTGGAAAAAAACATGCTGACTTCCTAGTCAATCATGTGAAAACTTGCATACAACGCTAAGCTTCTGGAATATCATCTGATCTCATATCCAAGCAGCTGGCTGCTACTGCAGTAGGTTTCTTTGCTGCTGCTACTGCATTTCAAATTATGTTGTTGAAGTCGTTGCAAATCCAGAGAGGAGAAGGGTAGTTTTCCTGACAGCAGAGGAAAAAAAAATCAATGGAAAAGATGATTAAAATCGCTCGGAGTTAGTGACTGTGACTTGACACATGTAGTTCAAAAAACATGAGCTGGAGACATTACTGAATCCTGGGAATTTATTTTAGAGCATGGAGACACTATGACACAGGGGACGGTAAAAGTAAAAAATACATTTCCAACGTGGCGTTGCCTCCGAGAGTATTTCAGGGACCAGATATGCAGAGAGGGTAGCAGGTGGGGGTCTGGCATGCTCGTGTGGCCCAAGCATCATGAGCATGTCTCATCTCTGAGAGATGTTCCTAACACCACGAGGAAGGCGGTGGCAAGATTTTTTTCTAGAGAGACTGCAGACCAGCAGTTTTGGGAGGAATAGTTACTGGTCTGGGGAATCTCTTTGGAGAGAGGCAGCTAAAGTAATTAAAAAGAAGGAAGAGTTTCAAGTGGTTTATTCCTGCCAAGTGATCTAGGCAGGCAAGTGGAACCATGTCCTGTTATGTTGATGGGACTGTGAGAATGGGTCAATGAACTCTGGCCAGTGTGCTCTGTTCAAATAGCCATAGGTTTTGTGCCAGGTCTAGCTCTGCAGTCTGCTGGGAAGCAGTATCAGTCTGGGATTCGACCGTTTCTCCCCAGACTGTCAGCTCTTTTATTTAATTTGTTTTCCATCAAACTGTCCAGAAGAAATATCTTCTACACCAGTATGCAACTGTATTCCAAAACGTATTATGCAGTAGAGAGTAAAATGTAATTGTACTTCTGTATTTTGGAGTAAGGTAACCAAAAGTCCAGTGCATATTTGAAAGAATACTTGCTTTGGGAAATTGCCTGATGAAATTAAGGTTATCCTTTTGTCTGTCAGTAAGAATGTTCATCTGCCCTCGTTTTATTAAACTATTCAATACATACAAAATAAATAAAATATTTTCCTAGTTATATTCATTTATATTCTTTAAAGACTTGCTCTTCTGCCAGTTGGGAAAATGAAGGGAGAAAAAAAAATACGTTTGTAGTCTGAGTGCCGGAATTTTTGGGTAATACTTTATTAAGTCAAATATTCAGCAAAAAAAAAAGATCAGTGGACCTACCTGATTTACTGTGGATTAGTCAGCTAGAAATTGAAGTTGGTGAATTAATACTTAATCCAAATGTAACACTAGCGAACTCTTGGGGATGTTTCACACCTTTATCTAACTGCTGATGGCCGAGCAGCATTTGTGTTAAAAGCGTTCCTTTGAAACCTTTTATGTTCTGCATTTCCCAAACATGCATTTCCCAAACATACATTTGCTTTTTAAGAAGTTTAAATAAAGAAAAAGAAGAGAAAAAGAAAGAAGACTGGGACTTTCATCATCTAGGTTTTGCATGTGCAGAAACTTAAAATAATATACACAATTTTCAGGTCAAACAAAAAGGTCATTCTGGAAATATACAAGATTTTTGCTGCCTTGATTAGCTGTGTTCAGCCTAACAAATTCCTAAAAAGACTTCCTAAATATATTTGTTTAGAATCGAACTCTCTAATGTCAAACAGAGAAAGAAACAGATGTTACATTTTGTATTCCACTTCATTTATTTGATGTGTGGAAAATGTAGGCAGGTTATTAAATAGTTTTAAGCAAGTGGGATCACAGAATTCCCATCTTTGCACTGCTAAATACAGTTCATGGGCTTCAGAAGAAAAGCTTTTAGGTTTCTGCAAGGAGCAAGTGATATTAAATAGCTTAGCACCTGAATAATACTGACTTTAATTACAAATGTGATAAATTAAGTATGTACTTTTAAGTTAGAACAAATACAATCATTGCTGATTCTATTTATTTAAAGTTCTTCAGGTCGTTGATTTTTATATTAATCCATCAACTGTGCCATTGGCTGTCCCTTCCAGTCAGTGCCATTAGGAATGTGTTGTGTTAACCAGAGGTATGCATATGTCCCAGCATTTAGGTATTTTGAAGAGGCTCACCATTCAAGGCCATAGCTTCTCAGCATCCTGCCAGCTTAGAAATGCTGACAGTAAAATTTAACAGGAGTTACCTGCAGAAGGGCTTTCATCTTTGTGTGACAGCTCTGGTCATGATGATGTGACATTAACGCAGTGATCTGAATAACACTGCAGTGAGAAATGTTTGGTGCAAGCATGCAGTGCCTCAAAAATAACTATACCCAGCAGTCCGGTTATGGACAAGCACCACAGGAGCTTAAACTGAATGAGTGTATGCTTGAGTGTCCTTGTTACCAACTCAGAAAAAACCCTGCGGTCCCCAAGTAATTGTGTTTCAAGCTGTGAACACAGGAATGGGGTTTTTGTCACTCTTGCGATATTCCTGGTGTCATGGCTCC